CAGGCTAAGAGTGACACTCTTTGAAACAAACAACGGTAGATGCTACTTGAACTTTTCTATTTCAGAGTAATCTGAGTAATGGTTACAGTTGACGTTAAATGGCGAGCGCATTCCAAGCACGCTGAGAACACCAGATGCCGCCGGCGTGATGGTGCCTAAGTGAGGCACCATCACGCCGGCAAGTACCGGAAGAAATGCAAACATAAATACTTCTAATCCACGCTAGTCTACTGTGAAGGTACTTCCTCACTTTTACTCTCACTCGCTCTCTTTTAGCGAGATGCTCCATTCTAGTGCAATTTGCCGACATGGTATTTTTCATGACTCACACAAAGAAACATTTTAGTATTGTGCTTCGAAAAAATTCGCGAATTTTTTACTTGTTATCATCATTTCAGCCCCTTTTAGTCCACCGCTAGACATAGGCCATTACTTCTTCACTGTTCCTTTAATAATATATAGCTAGTTTTGTTTATTGCGAAGTGATCGTTGCTTGGAACAATGTAAAGCGATTGCGTAAGCATAAATCTTTTTACAGGAACAAATCTACCATTACTAACTGTTATTCTTGCAATAGTTTATTCTAAAGATTATCCCGTAATTAATTTGTCTCGAGTCTTAATTTTTAATTGCTCAGCCAAGAAACTTTTTCGTAGTCTGTTTCTGTTTATTAAAATAGATGTTATAATTTTGCTTACCTTACGTCTTTCTTATTTTTCGTTAGAAGATATAAACAATAAACATCATATGTTTTAATAAAACTAATTTACGGATTATATCGTACCTAGTTTATTTTTAGTTTGAGTTTAAACCCACCTGGCCAGTCCAGCCCATGACCAAGAATGCAGTGAATCATTTGAAAAGTCGGGTGTTTTAAAATAAAAATAAACCGTAAAAATCCGTAAATTAGTTACATTAAGATGATGTCATTATATTCGCGTAAGTTTAATAATTTGATTTCTTATTTTAGTTTTTGCTTTACTTATAACAACGATTGTACATATCATATGACTAAGATACGATATGCGCCAGCGCAGACCAGCGCCATCTACTGATGAAAATTTGGAATCGTTAAATTTGCTAAATATAGTAAATGCTGTTTACAGCAAGCCGAGTGCTGTAAACATAAACATTTATTTGAAATAAATAGGCCAGGATTTGAAAATTATTAATTTCCCGCGTAAAATAATAGAGGGACGGAGATAGAGAGAGAAAGAGAGAGACAGACGTGCGATCGTTGAACCTGCAAGTGTTTCTCATTCCAATAATTTGGCGCAACAATAAAAATCGCGCCCATAACAATTAGAAACGTCGAAGCGCATCAGTTCGTTTCCGCTTAAAAGCTGAAGCGTATTAAAGCACAGTTTCGTTTTTTCGCAAAAAGGACCGAAGGTGCGCGGAAGGCCGTCGTAAACAAACGTAGAGTTATGTCCCTCTGAAACAATTTGCATACCGGTTCGCGGTTATCTGCTGGAGTATCAAACGTTCGCGTGTCGGTCATAACATTGTATGTTAATGCGCGGAGGGACTCCCGTGAATTGATGCCACCCGAAAAACTCGTAAATTTATTTGATAAGGGACGCTCAATAAAGCGGCCAGGTAGGGTCGTGAGGTGGCGAACAGCTCTACTTCGTGTCTATCAAATTATCGGTAAGGTAATTTGTAGAGTACTTTAGAGCTGCTGAGATGAGCTATTGACTGGATGATTGAAGCAACAAGTGATCGTAGGAGAGTAGTATAATTTAGACCTCTCTTGACAAGACTGTACATATCTATGGTTATTATACGTAGAGGAATACTTTGACCAGTTGAATGCAAACATTATTGTTTAATCCAATTTTGAGTTATTTAATGATTATTTAAAATAAGTAATTATAATATCTTAAATATTATTAAATAACATTTACTAAAAGTGGAAACTTGTTATTGGCTGCTTATGTTATACTTTGAAAATATGTTTAGGTACAATATTCTTTTATAATAAGTAAGGTGGCGCAAAAGTCATCGCGCTATCGGAAGATGTTATAATTTTTGAAAATGGCGGTAAATTTCAGTTCTGCTTTGACATTTGTGAAGTAGACAGATACAAAATACACGTCAATGAGATATGAATCGCCTCAACCTGTGAAATAAATGCGCAGAATCTCCCATTTTGGTGAGTTGCACTGGCCGCCGAGATGTAACCGTTCTAGACTTTTTTCTGTGAGGTTTCTTGAAATCATGAGTCTTATGTCAACAAGCCTTACCTTTGAAGTCCTTAAAGAGAATATCCGTCAAGATTGCGGGAACCTATTGCCAGAAGTTATGACAAGAGTGATGGGAAATACCATAAATCGCGTCCGTATGCTCATTAATTCTGGCGGCGACCACTTGGCCGATGTTATTTTTCTACCTATTGAAAAACCAAATTTAGACATCAAATGAACAGAATTCCAAAGCAAAACGAAATTTCTTCATTTATAAAAGAAATTATAGTCGAAGAACATATTATTTTCAGTCCGACAATCGCTTAGCTTTAACCTAGAGCTAACTTAAAATAATGTCATATCTTACCACTTTCTTATTGTATCTGCAGGTCCTCTGGCTATTGGTAATTTAAGACAAAGTCAACCCGACTTTAAGTAACGTGTAAAAGTAATAACCAGTATATGTCCCACTGCTAGACAAACGCCCCCTCTGTACAGAGGGTATTAGGACATAGTCCAGCACGCGACCCCACCGCGGATTGGCTCACTTATCACATATCTTATATATTAAAAAAAAATATTTTTTCTTGTTATCGTTTCGAAAATGTGCGTTATTGTACATATGATTTTCTCACGATATTTTCCTTTACCGTCATATCGAAATGTCTGATCATACCATAACGAAAGAGATCGCTTTATGAGGACTCTGCCCCGAAAAAAGGTTGGTTATAAGTGACGCAAGCTATAAAGCCTTGCATAAGCAAGGCAGGTATTTCGACTATAATCCACAAAATAAGATATTGAAACGATATTTATGATAAACTCGATTCCTAAAGTGGGGTAACTAACAAGTAAGCGGCTCATCAGGTGGTAAGACCGCCATTTTGTTCATGTTTTCTCACTCAACAGACTAGCCACAACACTTCGTCAGTTTTCCGATCTTCTATGAGTCCACCCTCCCGTTTTACACAAGTATAACTTTTTTGTTGACAAAATACAAAACTGACTTCAAATATCTCATGTACTGTACATTCTCTATTTGATTTTGAGGAGTTTTCTGATGCATCTCGGGAGTTAAAGGTCAAATACAGGAGTAATTAGCTACATGGTAACTAAACCAACCCAATGCAGAAAGAAGTTTTAAAATCGGCTAACAAATGACGGAGTTCTGAGGTAACAAAGTTAGGTAGAAAAAATACAACCGAATTGAGGAACTCCTTTTTCGAAGTCACAAAAATGTAAGCAAAGAAGCGTGGCTGAATCAAGTACCGTTACCATATCCCAAGTAGTCTTTTCCATAGTATACCCGTTGGCTGTTCATTCAGATTCTTTCGATTAATCCGCCAAGGAAGGGTGGGTCTTTGCCCATTAATTTCTACGCAGCCCGAAGCATCATACAGTTCTTGTTTAAGCTCATTTAATGACATGTGATACTGCAATATTCCTACGAGGCTTCGCGGATTTCATGTCAATCTAAATACATTCCTATGGTGAGCGTGCTTATTTATACTCAGGTTTCTTTGACTCCAGTTTAGTTTGTTAGAGCATGATCTGCGATAAGTTTGTCATCTATCTAATCATATGTTTAAAGTGAAATTTATACTTATTGCTCCTATAGCTTTTCCCATTTTTTCATGTGATGTGTCGTATTGTAATTATATATGATTTATCGAACTCGATACATATTTTATGAAAGAGCTTTAAAACTATATTGTTTTATTTTATTTCTTAAAATAGAGGATGGCAGAGTTTAAGACGTTAACGACTCAGTTGAAAAGGGAACAGTCCTGTTCTCAGAACTATGGTTTGAATTAAATTACATGCTTTTACCGGTTACTCTTACGAATCGTGATGGGTGGGAATCCGTTCATTAATTTCAACGCAGCCCGAAGCCTCTTTACCGTGGAAGATAACAGAAAACTGTTCGTTTCGTTATAAGAAGTCTAGAATTTTTATTATTACATTTGCTTACATAATCATTATTTACAAGAGATTCTACAGTTTTACACTTTGAAAGTCGTAAGTTTGTATTTGTCACAAACTATTGTCTCTATTGTTTAGTAAACGATTGTTTCTAATAATGGTCTTAGTGTCTTGGGAAGACCCCCCACTAGATGGAGTGACGACCTGTGCAAATGTGCGGGAAGTCGATGGATGCAGGTGGCTCAGGATCGTACTTCATGGCAGTCTGTGGGGGAGGCCTATGTTCAGCAGTGGACTCAAACAGGCTGAAATGATGATGATGTGTTCTTATGTAGTTAACAGGATTTTCAGACTTTATTGAATCAAGATTAACGTATCTTGTTCTTCATTCACCTTTTACAGCATTTACTGTATAAAGGTATAAATTGTGCTTAATTAATAATTTTCGTTTTTATCTATTTAACAATTTGTGGTATAAATCTTGATCTAGTGATAAATTGTGAAATAATGTATTTTTAATTACGGATCGAACACAAATAAGTGACTATCATAGGCGTTAAATGCTTAAAGCTTCACGGTGGCAGGGTTACGCAGCAGCCTCGGCTGTTGCACGAATGGGCAGGCTCGTCCGGGTAAGTACCACGGCGTCACAGAAGACCGGCGTAAAGTAGAAGTATATAATACTTTCGCGTTTCTTCTGTAAAGTGAGGTGGCCGGAGCCCAATTTTCAAAAGGTTGTCAACGCACCTGGAACCCTCGGGTGTAGCAGATGTCCATGGGCGGCGTTATTCACTTAACATCAGGTGAACCGTCTGCTCACTTGGCAAATTTTCACATAAAAAAAAGTACATGAAGGTACGTAATTAATAACAAGTGTGGTTCGATAATCTAGAAAGTTCGAAAAATAGTGTGATCGTTCCGATAAAACGCTCGGCCACGAATCGGCGAAATTATAGGCGCGTCGCACAGCGGCGGCGGAGCGCGAGCTAAAGCCATCGCGCGCATTACAGCCCACGTTAGATCGCTTATCGGGCCGAACGTGAAATACAACTTGCTCGCCCTTAGGTACGGGCGCCGGATCGCCTTATAAATTATAGCTTTTATTGCTCGCCCGCACTGGAGAAGCCCGGCGGAGGTTATAAACACGTGAAATGCATGACCAATCAAAATACCAAAGTCCGCCCGCGCACACAAGCGCCACGTGTACGCCGCGTGTGCGCACGGCGGGCGTGCGCGTGTGTGCGCGCGGAACGCATTAGCTGCGCCTGTGGGCCGCCACGGGCACACGCACACACGCGCCGCGCCCGCCGAGATGGAACACGCGTTCGAGGGATAACGGAGGGCTTACGTTTATTGAGCTAGTAATAGTGTGGATGGTATTGTTGAATTAATTTTTTACTGTGGACCAGCAGCAGTTTCCTGTTGTGGTACATCTGGAGAAGTATCACGACTTTTAAATGTCGTTTTGTTAGTGCAACGCGCAATGCGCAACTGCACCCGAACAGGTATAACATCCTGATATTTTGTGGATGTCGTCTACTGTCGGGAATATAAATCTCATATCTCATAAAGGAAAATCATCATATACGAACTTTTATTTGGATTTACTTCTATGAACAATGTTATACTTTCCAAGAATCTTGTAAAAAATCATTACTTATCTCTATAATGTTATTCCCTAACAATGATATATGTATTCGTATATATGGCATGTATATATATTTATATGTATGTGTATATGTATGTATATGTGTATTTGTATCTATATATTTTGTTAGCCTTTTGCATATACATTTATTTATTTACTTACATATTTATAAATATCTTATTATTATGAATTATGATTGTAGATAAGTATTTTTCTTTAGTTAACGCACACCTTTATTCCTAAATTATTTCTTTTTCAATCCATCCAAAGGTTGTCTGGAAGAAATTACTCTTAGTAATAAGGCCGCCCATTGTACCCATTACTTCTACATTAAGTTTTAATTTTTGTTTGTTTTATTTTTGGTGTGCAATAAAGTATATTCATTCATTCATTCATTCAACAATGCAACAAAAAGCGATAATCAGAAACCGAAGCTGGGGTTTATTCTTTTTTTTCAAATGCCTCCGATAATCGTATCGTATAAAGAATTCTAAACAAAATACGGGTAAGAACTAACTACTGACGAGCACAATTACAAAATGAATCTAAACACCGAGCGGAAAAAGTGCCAATAAAAACCCCGAAGGCATGTCCACGCTACGCTCCACAGGCGTCTCACACGACGAGCCCCCGCCCACATAAAAAATGACATCTAAATAAATCCATTAAGCCCGCAGCGCGGCTCGTCGCCGCTCATCCCGTGAGTGGGGCCCCTTATTTGATTTCGTCCGCTCGTCCGCAGGCGCCTTTATTTGTGTTTTGACAGCCTCAGCCGGGCCGAGATTATGATTTGTGATGTGAAACATGTCTAATTAAGACGACGAAACACGGATGCCTCTCAGAGACTGTCGCCTCTGTCGGTAACTACTAGTTTATTTATTTATTTATGCTTTATTGCAAAACCTTAAAAATGATTACAAAAGGTGGACTTAATGCCATTTGGGCATTCTCTCCGAGTCGACCGTTTTGATACGGCACAATATTGTCGTCTGGCTAGATGATGTTTCGTGTTTGACGATTTAGAGCTAAACGTCGTATTACGTTTACTGGAGTGGTACTCGGTAATGATATAAAACGTCGACGTATCTTTATCTTTTAAATATATTAAAAGTGTCCAAGTAAAAAGTGTAAAGTTAATCTTCATTAAAATATTGTGCACACTCTAAAACGAAGCCTGTTCAATTTGTTTACAATTTAACAAGACAAAATCCATAATTTTATTTAAAAGCCTATACAATTTGCGAGACCGAAAAAGTAAAGGTAATTCGATACAGCTAAAATAAAGCAATACAGGCATCATGATATTATCTACACCGTTATACTTTTACAGACTCGGAAGGACATACTGACTTTGGATATATTGGCTTTAAATGTAAAAATAAGTAAGTAAATAAATAAGTAAATTTTTTAACTCCTAGTCCGTTAATCAAATTAACAATAATCTCTTGGAAAAAACTTCGCTTCAACGACTTAACGACGTTAAAATGAATTACCTAGCAATACTACAACGCATTTAAAGCCCATTTGCTACTCACAAAACCCAATTACCGGTAAAAGGACGACAGTTCACGTGTAACGTTCATCGGAAGATGAGACCGCTCTGAGAAATATCGCGCGTGTCCGATAACGGCCAATCGGTCAATGGCCTCGACGCCTCTAGAAATGCGTGCACCAGCCTACGAACAAAGCGTATCACCCGCGACAAACACAGTGCCAATCACAACAAATCTATGCTCTAGGGCTTTGTGATTATTACTTTGAAAAAGCTTTGATACTTCGTCGAGGCGTCGAATGACGACTTTTCTTTGGAAAACTCAATTCCACTTGTCAACTTCCAAAGTTTTCAAGCGAGCTGGTGATTCACCTGATTCTAGGTTATTACCGTTGGTGATGTCGTGTGAAACCTGAGGGTGTTGTAGATGTTGACACGAAATAAGCGGTATACATCACCAAAAAGTGATGGACATACAACGCAAGTGTTTTTTTAATGTGAAAAGTTATCAAGCGAGCAGACGGCGCTCTTGATTTTAAGCGATAACCGCCGCCCATGGGCACCTTAAACACCCGAGGGCTTGCAGATGCGTTGACAACATTTAAAATAAGTGGGCCCTGGCTACTTCACTCACCGGACGAAACGCGAAATTTAAATAGTTCACTTCACACCGATCTTATGTGAGGCCGTGGTACTTTCCCGGACGAGCAGAAGCTACAATCTACATCCCGGACACTTAGAATTACTGGTCGCAGATTATGAAGCGTATTCTATCATCATTAAGTACGTCTTATTTCACACCAGCCTTATGTGTGAGTGGTAGGTTCCGGGGGTCTGTGCCACCGCGAGATTACTTTTATTTGTCTTTTTGGTTAATCTTATTGCTGTAAGAATTTCTAAGGCTTCATCAAACATGGGGCCAGCATGTAATTTGTCATAATCTTAATCTACTCGTCTAGACATCAAATGTTTTCGTCATGCTTTTTATTTTGATATTGAGGAGGAAATCTTCACCTAACATGACAGGGTAATGTGGAGTTCTTACCCACTAAAACTCCCATGGAACGCACCGGTGTCCCTCGATACTACGCCTGAGCACGCCTCTCAGAAGGATAAACCTTCTCCGATTCTCTCATCCTATTGCAGCAGCACGAAACCACTTTGTGCTGCTGCCCATCCGTGTCCCCTTTTAGTCGCCTTTTACGACAGGCAGGGGATACCTTAGCCCTATTCTATGAGCCCGGGACTACAGGGTTTTTCATCATGTTACCACGACCTAACAGAAGACCAGCGTGAAGTGGAAATATAACAATTTCTACGTTTCAACTGGTGAATGAGGTAGCGGCCCCTGCTACCCTTGGACTTTATTATAAGGTTGTTGTAAATGTCAATGGGCGGCGGTCATCACTTCACATCAGGTGAACCGCCTGCTCGCTTGCCACCATCTCAAATAAAAAATGTTCTCTTTTTATTTTAGATTTTTTTGGTGAGCGAGGTAACCAGTTTCTAAAAATTACTAACGTAACAGAACACCTACGGGTGATGTGAATGTTCATGCACGACTGTGAAACAGCAGCGTCATTCTCTTCCTTTAAAATACAGATGGCAGGCGATTCTAATTCACTTTGAAAATCTAGCGTTTATTAAAATTTGTTTAAAAAAGGACGAAAAGTTTTTCACCGCTGTGTGAATTGAATCTAAATCTTTCGGATTCACACCCGGACGTTTCAACCACCAAGCTAAACGGTTGATTGCCCCGCCGACGAAAATCTCAACGTCTTTTATTTAATATTTTTTTTCGCATTTCAAGCAATTGTTTCTTCTGAGCATAGTATAAACGTTAAAATTGCAGTAACAATGCAGACATATGATCCATAAATCACATAAATCATCGTACATAAACATATAATGAATAGAAGTATGCAGACTCTGCATACTTCTAATGATAAGATTTGTTACTTTAAAGAATTTCCTTCTTCTAGATGCGATGGGCCGGACACCAATCCGAAATTCATGCATGGTGTCCTTGAATCAAGAAACCTAATAAAGAACACCACTATATTACCATGACGTTATTTATCGTATAAACTAGTTAATCTTCACTATTATAACGATATAATTATAATCATTAGTTTCCCTCTAAAACGAAAGATGCACACAATATAAATGGCGGCATTACAAAACGCGTGACTAAATACAACATCAGATTTGGTCAATTAAATCGATTTTTTGGTAATAACGAAACCTTCCGATTACAGTATAATTGGCGTATAACAATCACATACATCCGTGACGATGTACGGATCGACCATTAATTAGTGTATTGGTTCCTTTACCAAAGCATCGATAATCTAATCATCATTAACTTAAGCCTGTAGGCAGTTCACAATAACCTTTTTTTGGTACCGGGGGGAAATTTTCAAAAGATACGCTGTCACCTTACATGACAGGTTTATGTGGGGGTTCTTGCCCACTAAAACCCCCTCGGTGGCTACTTTCTGTACGTTTGGATGGACCCCGGGATTTCCTATGGAACGCACCGGTGTTCCTCGGTACTGGGCGTGAGCACGCTTCGGAGAAGGGTTAAACCTTCCCCGATTCCCTCGCCATCTTGCAGCAGCTCGAGGCCACTTCGAGCTGCTTCCAATCCGTGTCCCGATTGAATCGCTTTTTACGACAGGCAGGAGATACCTTAGTCCTATTCTATGAGCCCGGACCTACAGGGCTAGTTCATTCAGTAGCTCTAGTCAGAAAAACGCAACACACAACTGCTTCGACTGTTGTACGAACGGATGGACCTGCCTGAGGTCCATCCTATACGGATGGACCTTAGGACCTAGTAACACGACCTCACAGAAGACATTATATATCATTTTCAAAGTTGTAGTAATTTAAGCAGAAGAAGAAATTTTACTTGCAACCCTACTGCTATTACGCTTATGGGGAGTGGTCTGCTCATCGTCAGATGATTTTACTGTTCGATTACATTTAATTAAAAAATAAGAAATTCGTTACTGTCATCGAACACTCGTTTGGAACGAACCTCGTAGTATATTTATATTATTATTGATAAACGTATTATATTCCCATAACTAAAAATTTTAACCCCTGTGCCAGTTTGTGTGTGAAAATAACTTGGCATTATAGATAAATGTCAGAAAGTTATTATTGGTTGCCATGTTAATAACGTGACCATTCGGTCGTAACGGAAAATACTACGCTTTTTTTCGCCTGGCCCCCATCCGCCAAATCCGCACCGTGCGATAAGGAACCTCGTTCCAAAAACAGGCACAACGTTTTATTTTCAGGTCACTTTTTATAATTTTTTATAATTTTTTCTACATGTTTTAAAGGTCGCTTTTTGTCTACATTAACTATATTAAACTTAACTATATAACTTACGTAATATTAATACATTTGTATTTGGTCTAGTGATTGAGGTATCTGGGGCAGACTTTTTTAATGATTGAGAACTAACCTATCCACAACCTGTCACATATGTCAGTCACATCATGACTCATTTGCCAACATTTCACATAAAAGACGAGTCAAGAAGTTTGTCTCATTTTTACCTAATATATTTTTTTCACAATAGATTTCGTTGATTTATGCTAATAAAGACAAACCAAGAAATAAGCTTTCACATTTATAACGTTAAATGTTTTACAGTTATAATATGTATAACATGAAAACAAATAATTTCTTTCATATCCAAAACCTCTGAGCTTCTCAATACCTAACTGATGTCCGTATAGGCTACACAAATAGAGAAATTGTCATTTACGCAAGTTACGGAATGATAGAATCCTCTCTATGGGTTTTTGGTAGGGCCACGAAACAATTTTCGCTGTTGCATGAATGGGCAGGTCCGTCCGGGTAGTACCTCGACCTCAAAGAAGACCGGCGTGAAGTAGAAGTGTCACACTTCTGCGTTTCGTCTGGCAAATGAGGTAGCCGGTGCCCACTTTACTTAAAGGCGGCAACGCATTTTCAACGCTACTGATGATGCAAAAGTCCATAGGCGGCGGCTTTCACTTAACAGGTGAACCGGCAGCCCGTTTGCCACTTTCTCACAAAAGAAAACAACTTGCATTGTTTATTGGTAAATGTAACTGAGTACATTTTAATAGAATGTGTTAGGGCTAGAGAAGCATTGTCCGTTGAAACCGCAACGCACGTGTTCGCGACACGTGTTTTCTTGCGTCACACGCTGAGGCCGTACTCACTTTAATAGGCCAATCGAACAATATTTCACATTGGAACAATCGTATTTCACAGTTTCTATGCAGCTGCGTTTTATAATTTAATGGCCATACACCGTTACTTAGTTAACAACTGAAAATATTATGACTTAAAATCATCACCAACATCATCAGCTTGCGACAGTCTATGGTTGGAAAAGGCAACTAACTTTTAATAGGACACACCGCCCGTAGACAGTAAATTATTTCAATTAATTATCGGAAGGTAACAATAATATAAGTACGTTAATTTGAGTACACTTCTCAAAGTTTCATTCGGTTCTGTAATAAAAATGTGTTAGACTTGCTAATGTTTTACTTTTTACTTTACTTACTTTAAGATTTGGTAATGCCATTATGGATGCATGTGAAATATGGGGGGAATGATTAGAAAAATAGTGTGAAATAAATTAATGGAAAAATTAACTGGCTTAAAAATTTTCTTACGTAAAAATCTCCTATATGATTATCGTTAATATTCCATCTCGGATTCAATTATTAATGTAGTTAAGAACAGACCAAGAGTTCTAATGTCTTTTAACCCCTATAGCTTGGCAGAGAGACCTGAGGTTATTCACGCTCGGGTTAACATATTGAGTGTTACATCTCACAAGCGTTGAGACAGTTTCATCTTATCATACAAAAAGTCCTGACAATAGATAACATTTTTTGCACTCGCAAATTTAGATGAAAGCAAAATCATTGTGATCGCAAATCCATCGTATCGTTAAAAGTTTATATTGAGGGGTAGCATAAATATAATTTTTACATACATTATATTTTTAGAATATTGTGGAACTATCAAGAACATTTTCTGCGCAATAATATAATTGGTAACTAGGTGTGGTTATATTTTTTATACCTTGATAATCAATTTCACTGAAGTGATAAGACTTCTGAATTGATTCTTATCTTAGGAAAAGTATATAAGTACGTCATCGATTTAGATAAGCAGATATAATCTCGTTTCTACGTGTAAATTGAAGTAGTCTTGAGCACAATTGTTGATGAAAAATAAATTGTTGGTACGGACTCGATTTCCATGCTGAAACGATGCCTAAATAATTTTACCAAGAAAATTGTTGCAGCAAAAATGTAAATAGTATCTCAATATCTTTTATCATCGTCTACAAACGCGAAATCAATTACGATTTTCGAAGAAGGAAAGTGTAATTATGAAACAAAAGTGCTCGCAGGAGTTAACGTCCAAATTGGGGCAATCGTCCATATTCCCGAACGGCTCGGGAGAATTGGGGAGGGACGCGACGGGATTGCGGAGGGCATGTAAAGGGACCTGAAACAGATTCCAAAAATCATTCCCCGCTAGCCGAGGGACCAATTGTCGAAGGTCATAATCTGTTCTCCACGCTTATCGCGACGCTGTAAGTGGCGTTTCGTTTAATGAAATATTATAATAATAATATATCGGCTCGATATATTATAATAATATATCGGCTTCGGCGCTGGGGGCCGTGGGTTCGATTCGCATAAGGGACCCATAGATTTGTGTCGGTGGGTGCTTTATGCAGTAACGCCGATAATGTGAAATATGATTTAAGATTTTATAAAAAACAAAAATTAACTACACATATTAATTAAAAATACACGTTACAAACCTAGCCCACGCGGCGTGGTGCTAAAAACGGTAGGTGCATTTATAAGAGTTCTAACGATTTTACCTTGATCCTAATATTTTAACTATTACTGAAAATGAATATTAACAACTTTTTATACAGCGCTAGTGGTTATATCACCGTCCGGGAACGCAGCCGAAGTCCAAGTGACCGCTGCTCCATACGACCATGTGTCCCTTGGCTCGAGTAGATAACGTCATATCCGGTATACAGTGTTGCCAGCGCCAACATTCGGCCGTCCTGCATCACGCCTTCGTCCTCGAATGGCGTTGTAGTCTGGTATAAGTAACCCTCATAAAATTAACACCTTACCCTGTGGCTTATCTCCCTCAACTGGGATGCATAACGCCACGTTAAAAACACTTACCCTATGGCTTATCCCTCACAACTGGGATGTATATCACCACGTTCAGAACACCTTACCCTGTGGCTTATACCTCATAACTGGGATGCATATCGCCACGTTCAGAACACCTTACCCTGTGGCTTATCCCTCAACTGGGATGCATATCGCCACGTTCATGCCTTAAATTTTCCAACTACTAAAATGCTCAATAGCTTAACTGGGTAAAAAGTATAGTTGTGTATCGCTATTTAACGTTTTCTCATATAAGTTAAATAATTAATTAACTGGAAGGTACTCACCAAAACTTTCGTTACATTTAACTAAAAGATTTTATCACCATTACGTATAGTAAGTATAAAGCACACTGTTTTATTTTACGAGGGTAGGTATACAAGGAGAAAATATGTCGCCGATTGTTTGAACAGAAAAATGCGAGTTTTCGTATTGAATCCCACTTCTTATATAAGAGTTCTAACGATTTTACTTTGATCCTAATATTTTGACTATTACTGAACATGAATATTAAAAACTTTTTATAACTACAAGCAGCATTAGTGGTTATATCACCGTCCGGGAACGCAGCCGAAGTCCAAGAGACCGCTGCTCCATACGACCATGTGTCCCTTGGCTCGAGTAGATAACGTCATATCCGGTATACAGTGTTGCCAGCGCCTACACATTTCATTGCTGAACAGTTATCATCAACCTTAGAGCGAGAAAAGAATCTCCCTTCGTTGGGAGCTTCATGACATATAAAAGGTTACATATAAAATCCGTGAAATAGTTTTCATTTAAAATTTTATTCATCTTATTTCATTGGCGCCGTCGGCGTGGCCTTGTTGAATTGCATTAATCTGAATAAAAAGCGGGTGCACACTGAGCTACCATGGCTCTTATCATAAATAATGACTTATTGATACGAGTAAAAGTGACAGACATATGAATTTAAGGCCAGTTAAGTTCTCACGGCAGTGTCAGAGTGCGGACATAAGGTACACAGGTAAGGATCTTTATAGTACATGTACGACTTGAAAAGCGCAATAACGATTTTCCGTGTAACTATTAGAAGGTATTGCTTTTCCTTACTTACATTTAAGGTTGAAGTCTTTTTAAATGTCCTTCTTTTTTATTTCTTTGTGCTATATTATAACAGTAATACAACAAAATTTAGAGGTTCTAGCAGGAAAACATATGCGATTATGGTGATTTGTAGCTCAATTCGACATAAATATCAAACATTTTTTTACTGAACTTTGTGTTGTGCCGTGGCTGATAGGTTGAGCCGGAAAATGGTAATTACTTCTCTGAGGTGGTAAATAAAAAATGCCGTTTTGCCGTTTCAAGTTATACATATCACGGGCTTCATAGAATACCGGTTTAAGGTAAAGTATAAATTGATAAGATCATAATCGGTTCCTAGACAAGGGCGGTGCAGAACTAGTTCTATACATTCGGCACACGTGCACCCCTCCTTAGTTCGAATGGAATGTCATGGTTGGACCGTTGGCGCGAGTTTGTACCGCTCTGCTAAACATTATGTTTTGCTTATTTCGGTATGCGTTTTCCTTCGAATTGTAAGTATATTGTGGTAAGTGACGTAACTCTCGCTATTTTAAAGGTTTGCAACACATTGCGAACAGATTTTCTATGCCCATACTATGGGGTTAATAATAAATAATTTTACTACAACTCGTTTCTCTCTCATTCTCATCAAAAAACGTCTACTCCTAGCATCCTGGCTCCTGTCCTCAACAGTCAACGAACTGTTAAGTTAGTAAATAAGCTAAATTTAGTCATAAATTTATTCATTTGATTCGATAAAACTATATCATTTCGCACTACGATAACTATTTACGATAGTTTTTATAGTTCTTCAAACCATTAATCGCGCTGTTTGTTTTATTACGTGTGCAACTAATGAAATCTAATAATGTTTACGCTGGACCGGCACGTGGAAGCGTTGTCGTCCATTTTATTTACCCGACACCAAGTGCCGGTCGCGCGTTGCCAATCGACAGCCCTTCTACATTAATTCCTTGGCAATTAGTACGTTACTTCAACGTTGGCCAAGAGCTGGGCCGATTGGGGCCGCCGACGAAAAACTCGACGCGTAAGCACTCATGTACGCCATGTACGAAACCTCAGCGAATAGTTCTCGCAACAGCCCGCGGCCGGTATACCCTGAGCCGCTCCCCATCCCGCGTGCGTAAGACGCGAGGCCCCAGCGGTGTGCCCGTTCGCAGGATCGGAGGTCAGGGCGCGCTGGGCGAGGAGTAGGCAGTAATCTAAGCGCATTAGAGCGAGCGCCGTCGCGTGACGCGCGGTACATTGACCGCACCGCTCTCTGTAAGCAATTGCTCCATTAACAGGGCTGTCACCGGCACGATGTAGACGTCCAACGGACGAATTGACACAGTTCTTGATGCTATCACGGATAACGGTTGCGTACGGCCATCGGAAACTATCTTTCGGGAACAAACGTGGCGCTAACACGATTGTAGTAATGAACAATGGTGGACCTTGTCTTTGGTTCTTTACGCTACATACGAATTGTATCTGCAACTAGATTTTTATCGAGGAAGATAATGTTTTTTTCACTTATGCGGGAGTTCATAAATCTTAAATGGTATTTTCTGTTTCTATTCTTACGGGTGAACTAAAAAGCATTACACGTGATCAACTCTAAGCATTTGAAGTTATCGAGTGAAACAATTATTTCATTCAATTCCAGCTAATTCTAAAATTGGAAATATTTTTATATTGCCGATAAGTTGATAGTTTTATATTACAATCTAAATAATTTTTGCGGTAAATGCAAAACATTCAGAATTTATTTAAAGCAAATAATGATGACATTCCTTTGAGAATTTTTTTATCATTAATTTAGATTCATTAGTTTTAGTCGCGGTCTTCTAAAGAAAATGCCATATTACTCACTTGAAGGCAGTGGAACTAAGAGCAAATATTCGTATTTTTGTTACATTCGGTAACGTACATACCGGAATGATCAGATCCACCGTTGAAAGCGAGCAACGTACAGCGTTCGTGTTAATATTTACGGCTGTAATATAATGCCGGCTTTGAAATTGGGTCGAGGCGCAGCAGCCCTGAGTGCTGGGCGGTGGGAGCGCCAAATCCGCGAAGTGATTTGTCCGCAGCACAGACGCGGGGGGCAACGACCGTCGCGGATCTCCGCGCTGCTCCACTGGCGGGCCGCGATGTCCCAATTGCATCTATCTTACGATAGGTAAGCCATAGGGGTCAGTGCTCGGCTACTGACCTTCTAATTCAGTATTTCGGATACTGAATTAAGATGCTATATATATGCGTTGCCACCTTTAAATAAAGTGGGAGCAGAAGAAGTGTAACACTTCTACTTTACGCCGTCTCTTCTGTGAGGTCGTGGTAATTACCCGAACGGACCTGCCCATTCATGTAACAGTGAAAACTGTTGCGTGGCCCTACCACAGACGGCTATAGATTTAATAGCAGTACGGCTATGTAGCAGCTTCTTGGCCCGAATGGGCGGTCTTGTCCGTGTAAGGACCACGGCCTCTCAGGAGCTTTGCATCAAGTGGAAGCATTATACTTTAGTGTTTTGTCTGGCGAGTGAGGTAGACGGCTCCTCTTTTAAGGTTGTCAACTCATTTGCAAGCCCTCAGGTGTTATATTGGGCGGCGGTAATGACTTAACATCATGTGAACTGTTTGCCTGCGCGACAGCTCTTCACATTAAAAAATCAGTCCTTATAATATGAACTCTGTCACTACCTCTTGGGAGAAATGGTTGAGGAGAGTTGTTAACGTCGCCCATGGATACTTAAAATTCCGCCATGTTCGCAGGAGCATCGGCAGAGCTTGATGCTGTGTTGGCTGCTCCCAACCTCACTGGAGAATAATAAATGCCCAGTGTGTACAATTGACGCAGAGTTAGATAAAGGGTCAGAGATATGGATACGTAGACCCTGCTAGACACTAAAGTAAATGAGTAAAGCGTGAGGAGCGGACGTGATACTAGTGGACGTAACTCTCTAATTGAGACGAGGTTTGGAGGCTGAACTTCTGGCTTAGGCGTATTATTTCGCAGGCTTTCCAGCACGTTCTACCGATTACTACGCACGTGCTTAGGTGCATGGAGGTATGATATTGTCATTTTCTTCCTCCAATTATTCAGATACTAGCTGCTGCCCGCGACTACGTCTGCGTAGAATAGGCTGAAGGCGTAACATCCAGACAGAAAGACAGATATACATAAAATATGTATATAAATTATAGCCTGTGTCTTATTCTGGTGTATAAGCTATATTATTGTAGAGTTTCATTAAAATCCATTCAGTAGTATTTACGTGAAAGAGTAACAAACATCCATCCATACATACAAAATTTCGCGTGTATAATATCAGTAAGGATTATATAGCCTGCTTGCATAAAATTTTATGAATTTTCTGTAACACAATGAGGTGAATAGAATAAATAATTAATGCACAGTTTGCAATTGCTGTATCCGATGATAATGGCTGTTAAATACCAACTCAAAACTTAATGACAAGTCTTTGCCATTCTTCTTAAACCTGGCTTACTGTTTTGAATGTCAATAAAGAGGAGGAAACAAATTCAAAAACACAATTTGTTTAAATTTAACGGGCAACGTTAAATTTAAACAAATTAAGTTTTAAATGTGGTAGGACCACGCAACAGTCTTCGCTGTCGCACGAATGGGCCGTCTGGGTAAGTACCACGACCTCACAGAAGACTGGAGTGGGGCCGGGGCCCGCCTAATTAAGGGTGGCAAAATATCTGTAACGCTACTGGTATTGCACATGTCAATGGGCGGTGGTTATCACCTTCTCACATTAAAAAAACGGTCAAGTGCGAGCGAACTCGTAGACCGAGGGTTCTGTACTCACCCATTACACCACCATGATAATCACCACCGATTTTCTCAGTAACGGATGGACGTAGCTAGTTGAAATTTATATCAGATACTGAGGTCTATAATCCCTACCAGGCGTATAAATCGACTAAAACCTTTAGGCTACTTCTTGGTTAAAAGCAGCACAAGTAAAGGGAAAATTCTGAAAATTGAAAATTAAGGTAAAACATGGTACTTATAAGTTTTCGCGAAAAACTAAATTTGACCATATCTTTTTATCGTGTTGACTCTGGATATTGATTTTTATACACCTTATAGGGATTATAAACCTCAGATCTGGTATTGTATTCAACTTGCTAGGTCCATCTTTTTCTGAGAAAATCGGTGACACATCGACAGACAGACGAACAAGAGAGTGATGTTATGAGGGTTTGTTTCTTAAGTTACGGAACCCTAAAAACAACTGGAGGCGCCGTTACTAAAAGTAGTGTATTACAGGCGTTTCATTTAAAAAAAAAAATCATCTAAACGTCACCAGCGGCACTTAAATCGCACACACAAATGCACGAGAAACGTGTTTTATAAAATATACGGATAGAATTGACAGAGCGATAACGTCTCGATGCTGCACGCGTACGTGCCTCCATTTAATTGATTGCGAATGGGATTCCCGCCTGCGAAACTCTGAGATCGCAATTAAGAAAGTTGTCCGAGCGGACGGTTATTTTGAATTGAGTTTAAACAGACAAGTACTTTTAAGTTAACTGAAGTTATTATGTTACGAATCTGAAAATGATGCAATTGCGAATACATGCGGCAGACACGATGCAAACGTCATCGGCGAAAAGTCCGATAAAGTTTTATACCTATAAACTTTTAAACGTAGATCACGTAAGTTATAGATAAGTCAATTTTTTTTACAAAATCATTAATCAAAATTCATTTTATAATTGATTTTTAAGGAGTTCTGAGTAATAAAAAAAGAATCATCAAAATGGACGGACATTCACTCGAAAGTTCTGAGGTAACAAACGTACAAAAAATACAGTCGAATTGTTCTCAATTCAATCCTCCTCCGTTTTTGAAGTCGGTTAAAAATTAATAATAATAAGTAAAAAAATATTTTCATTCAACATTGTACTATCGCAAACACAGAAAATAATTACAAAGCCCAGCGTGTTCCATACCATTATGCGAAAATAAAATCCTTTTTTCTCTCATACTTGCCCGCCGTAAACGGAATATAGTGAAACGGCGCGACTAATAATACCTATTTAACATATTTAACTAACCGGGCGAAATAATTAAACACCAACTTGACAGTTAATTAAAAGGAACTAAGGGATGGACAATGGATGTCTTTATTAAATGGTGTATAGACACTACTCTATCGAAATCAAATAAAAGTACTTCTTTAAATTACTTTTTATGGAACAAATTGCCTGGCGGCTTGCACTATGCGTGGGTTGGTAGAAATCGTCACGTAAGGAAATAGCACAATACCTCAATTTCACTCCCTGACATTCTTTTTCTTTCTAACACAAACCTGTGTATATGTATAATCGACACGGCACTAGGATGGTTTTATTGAGTATGTTTTTACAGCTTATCATTCACTCTCTTATAAATTAACGGCCTACAAATGTACCATTGCTGGGCAAAGGCCTAATCTGTACAGAGGTATCAGGAGGGCGTTGTCCCCACTGCGGATTGGCGGACTTCACATATCTTCGTAATATTTTTTTTGTTATTATTTAGGAAATATGCAGTTTTCCTCACAATGTTGTCTTGTATCTTGTATTAACTGATGTTTTTGCTTTCAGTCCCGAGACTATTAAAGCTTCATCTGACGCAGAACCGGTGGGCCAGCCAGAACCCACGGGTTTGGGCCCTCCGCTGTGGGTAGGGCCGCGCATGTGCTCATGAGGACCCCACAATGTTTTCCTTAAACATCGAGCATGTGATAATTCAGCACTTTCAATTAACAATTTCATTGGTGGCGGCACCGGGGATCGAACTCAGGTTGCTCGTGTATATGGAATTAAAAGCAAGCGCCCGGACAATGTGCTATCACGGCTCTTATATGTAAGTACCATTAAATAAATATGTTTCCTATGTTTTTTTTTTATGTGATTTATGACCTTAAATAGGCTATTATAAACTTAATAAAAAAATACAGAAAAATAATTGAATTATGCTTCGGAGTTCAGAGAAAAAGGTGACAGTAGTACTACAGCGTACGAAAGTTCGTTCCCGACGGGAATTTAACTAGGAATTTTTGAACGTCTTTCTAGTTATTTTCCTATTGAAATTACAATTACAATTACAATTATTTATTTGCCATCTAAGTTTACATTATATAAATAGGTGTTAGATTTATACAGAAACTTAGATGCCTTTTCCAGGCACTGCAAGTTTTTTAATGGACACTGCTCCTTTAATTAAGTTAATGAATATAGAAAATGAACACAAAATGAATATAATAAAAAGAAAGAAAAAAATGTTTCGAAACAAACAATATGGTTAGATTTAAAAATATATAAAAAAAAAAAAAAAAAAGAAGAAAATCAGCTAATTCAAATTAAAACTAAATTATACAAAACGATCAAAAGCAATTCCTTCGTGCATGTATGTTTGTGTCCGTGTGTGTGTGTGTGTATGTGTGTGTGTGTGTGTGTGTGAGTCACCATAGGGGCACAAATAGATTTTAGGTAAAATGCTAGTCAACATATAAACATTTATTAAGTGGGGGTAATGATTTTCTATCCTCATTGCTCTAAATATTCTTTTACTGAATAAAACGGGTTTTGTTCTAAATAACATTTCAGTTTGGATGTAAACTTAGGCAATTCTGTTATATTCTTTATTTCATCTGGTAGTTTATTATGTATTTTAATTGCCATGTAGTATGGGCTATTGTTTAACATTTTTAATCGAGAATGTGGTAAATATAATTTATTTTTATAACGTGTGTTAATGTTATGAGTATCTTTGATTTTTTTAAAGAAATGACTATTTTTGAATACAAAAAGACACAAATCTTTTATGTATAAGCATGGTAAAGTTAATATTTTAAGTTTTGTGAAATAAGGTCTACAGCTAGAATTGTTATCTATGTGTGCAAGTATCCTTATGCACTTTTTTTGGATGATAAATAAGTCCTGAGCGTCAACACTGTTGCCCCATAACATTACGCCATACATAAGCCATGAGTGGGCGTAGGCATAGTAAGCTGATAACGCGGTGGAAGTATCTGTAGAGCATTTAATTTGGAAGAGAGCATAGGTGAATTTGCATAATTTACTTTTTAAATAATGAATCGATATTTAAACCAAGCAAATTAAATGAATCTACTTTTTCCAACTTTGTACCATTAAAATTTATACTGACATTTAATGATGGACTTTTATATGTTTTAAATTGCATAATTTTAGTTTTCTCATAATTTATCTCTAGGTTATGGTCTCCAAGCCAATTAGTAATAGTTTGTAAAGTGTTGTATGTAACAGAGTTATAGTCGGTATTATTTTCGCCTTTTATTAAAACAGATACATCGTCAGCGAACACAATAGTCAAGGTATTCTCATTATTTATTACTTTTGGTAGGTCGTTAATGTAGATCAAAAATAACAAACACCCTAAGACCGAACCCTGGGGAATAGAGCATGTAAGTTGTTGAATCTGGGATCGCACGGAAATAATTTCATTCTTTTCGTTATTTTTATGTTCAATTTGGACTAATTGTTTTCTGTCTGAGAGGTATGACTGAAACCATTTATATGCCGGACCGCGAATTCCTGAGCCATGAAGTTTAGCTAGTAATATGTTATATTTGACTTTTTCGTATGCTTTTGTCATATCTAATAGGAGACCTAAGGTATACTTCCCATTATTTATTTTTATGTTTTGAAGTGCTGTTTGTATGTATTTATATACAGCATGGGTTATAGATCTGTTTTTTTTTCTAAAGCCATTTTGAGATTCATCAAAAACTTTGCATTTCTCCAAGAAGTGGTACAGTCTATTATACATGGCCTTTTCAAATACTTTTGCAAATGTTGGAAGCAAAGCTATGGGTCGATAATTAATAAGTAGATGTGGATCGTTTTTTTTAAATATTGGTTTAATTAGGGAGATTTTTAACATATCTGGGAAAAGACAATACTCAAAACTTTGGTTTATAAGTGAGGCTAAGGCGGGGGCTAGCATGTCCGCGCATTGTTTTACTAGGATGGCAGGTATGTCATCGATACCACAACTATGTTTGTTTTTTAAGTTTTTTATTATTTGTATAATTTCCTTTGGATTTGTTGGAGTCAAATAGAATGAGTTTGTTGGAGAGTCTATCACTGGCCTTCCATTTGTTATGTTATTGGCACTATCACAGTTACCTATAGTAGCAAAGTATTCATTGAATATATTACTTACGGTCTGAGGGCACGATAGCACTTTGTTTTTTACTTTTAGTGTTATATTTTGTACTGAACTTTCTTTATTTTTCCCAGTTTTACTGTTAATAATTTTCCACATAGTTTTAGTTTTATTATCAGATTTTTTCATTTGTTTGATATATTCAAATTTTTTTGATACCCTTATACACGTTTTTAGAATTCTACTGTAAGTTTTAAAATGAGCTCTTAGGATTTCATTATTGGTTTTATTTAACAATGTTTTAAGTAATCGTTTATGTGTACCTGATTTTTTATTCCTGTAGAGAGCCAAGTTTTCATAGTATTAAAGGTTTTTATTTTTATTTTTTTTATAGGTATATTTGTGTTTAATATTTGTGTAATACAAGTTATAAATTCGGAGTAATTTTGGTTTATTCCCCGACTTTCTTTTATTATATCACTCCATTTAATTTTATTTAATGACTCTTTAAACTTTATTATATTGGCAGAATTAAATAATCTTTTTTCTTTAAAATATGTGATATTTTGTTTCGTTGGTGTATTACTTTTATTTAGCTCCACATTTATTGCTTTGTGGTCTGAAATTCCATAGTCGTATACATATGATTTTTTTACAAATGATGGATAGTTTGTAAATAGCAAGTCAATGCAAGTAGAGGTATTTTTTACAACTCTGGTTGGCTCTGTGATTAGTTGCCTAAGATTATGTGAATTCATAAAATTTAAAAAATCCCTTGTAAGTTTATTTTTGTTTAAAATATTTATATTAAAATCACCTGCGATAATAATATATTTGTGCGGTTCTTTTTTATTAAGTTTGTTTAAAAGTAAATCAAATTTCTCATAGAAAACGTGAGAGTGGCGGTCGGCCCTATATATTCCTATTATTATACATTTTAGTTTTGGAATTTCTATTGCACAGAGTTCAACAATATATTCTATAGAGTAATTAACAATATCATTTCTTTCTATGTAATCTAAATTATTATTTACAATTAGGCAAACACCGCCCCCTTGTCGGCTTTTCCTGCAAAAGTAGGAGGCAATATTATATCCTGGTAATGTTAAGGCCTTAATGTAGTGTTCATTTTTCCATAACTCCGATAATGATAGTATATCAATATTTGTTTCTAATAGCAATTGTTCAAGTAAATCTATTATATTATTATATATCTAACTAAATAATGTAAATAAATGCTATCTTTTCCCAATAAATAATAGCCAAAAACTTGTCGTTATTGCCAATCACCGTTGTTGCACTAATTAGAGATTGTCCTATAAAATGTCATTTACCTGACCTACCCTTATCAGTTAGTCGATAAACTAATCCTTTATTAATAAACACGAGCATTGCCTAAAATTGGAACATCTATTGAAGAAGCGGATTGCCCCATCGGGTTTAAAGTCAGCGAGAAGTGGCTTGTGTGATAAACAACCAGTTTATTGTGTCCACAATTTACCGGTAGACTAAAAGCTCTAACCGAATACCGCGTATTCGGTTCCGGCAGAAGAAGGTGCATATCAGAAAGGGATGATCGTTCTATCTTCAGTCTTTCCAACGGGAGCTTAGAAAAACTGTGTGGCTGTTAGAGTCTGGACACTCAGAGAGGACTAAAAGCAGCCTTGCTAAGTTTCGCAAGTGATTCTCCCAATACTGAATAACTGAAAATGTTGCACTGCCAGGAGATCCATGAACGGCGTGGACGGACTTTTAAGTGTTGCCTTATTTTATAGTTAAAAAAAAAATTAAGGTTTTTTTTAAATTAATTCAAGAGAGTTTATTAATATGAATGTCATTTCATTTTAAGGCTAAAAACTTTACCTTTAATCTACTATAGCCTATATGCACAACATAGTTTTTACGAGAATATTTTGACCGCAAGCGTGTGGCGTAGGTCGCTTTACTTGTTCAAGCGTGATGACATTAATATCTAAATTTGACACGAGACTAAACATCGCAGACTAAACAAGACCATGCCCAGCAGTGGGCCATTGCATGACGAACATGTCTCAACGAGGCATCGAACGAGGCCGCGATACAATTCGCGAACAAGTAATCTGAGAGCGCGAGATGAAAGCGGGATTTTACGGCTACTTGCGTCTCTATTTCTGTCGCTTGTTTACGGGCCGATTTTGACATGCACCATTAACATACAAAGTACGCTTCTTGTTTGCCTCATCCCAATTAATTTATAGTTAGAGATATAAACATTCTCCTCGTAACTGTTCCCTGAATTTAGGTTTATGAGACGTTGCCAAGAAACTTTTTACTTGATACGCCCATTAAACTAATATTGTTATTACAATTAATATTATTTTAAGAAATTGACGTGTTATATTGTATGTTATATTGATATTATCAATTATATTGTATGAGCTGTGATAGTGACCGGTTGCGCAATTTTAATTCAATACTTATACTTGAGCAACTAGAGAAAAAAATCATTTCAATCAATTCATTCAAATCCCGATGCCGAAGACAATCTAATTATTAATTGCAATTTTAAGTGCTGCTTCATCAAGTGCCCGGTGAAGGAAAACATGGGAGGAAAACATGGGAAACAAACAGGAAGCCTGATTATTCGCGAAATAATAAAATTTATGTTTCCGAAGGTGTGTGAAGTCCGCCAATCCTCAGCGGGGTCGAGTGGTGGGCTATGCTAAAATCCTGAGTTCAGACGAGGCCTTTTCTCACAAGCGAGCAGGCAATTCCCTTGATTTTAAGTGAATACCGCCACTCATGCATATCTACAACCACTAATGGATTGAGGATGTGTTGCAAACCATTAAAAACTCCTACCGGCTATCACACTCATCAGACGAAACGCGAACGTGTAATACTTCTACTTCATACCGATCGTCTGTGAGCCCGTTGTAATTTCCCGCTCTTATTGAACGTCTAAAACTATCACCGGTGCACTAACTTTGATTTGTCCAGCCGGCAAGAAATTCTGCGGTTCGGTCTGCAATTTGCTCACTCTTTCTTTTCGCTTTTACTCTTGTTTTGACTGATGGTTTTCTTTCATTCCATGGGCTATTACAATTTAATCGCAGAACTCGTGGGCTAGCCAAGTCCCATTAGCTTGATACGGCGGTCCTGCGCATTTTGTAGGGCCGCGCGTGTGCTCGTGTTATCTATGGGGAGGAATGTCACCTACGGGCCATCGAGATTAGGTACGGACAAGACCCCGATGGCCGTTGACTGTACTAATCGGTGGCTGGGGGCGGTGAGAACCGCCCTGGAATGCGGGTGTACCTCGTGTACGCGTTGTGTTGGTTTCGCCGTGCTAACGGGACGAAATAATTAATTATGTGTGCCCGTACTATTTGTAGAGAATGAAATCAGCAGCACCCAAAAGACTTGCAAGTACAGATCATGTCATTTCCACACATCCTTAACATCGATGATTGTACACTACAAAAGGAAAGGCTCTTTTAATGAAAGTAGATCATACAAAATATTTGAAATTGTTTACACTTAGTAGTTTGTGGAGGTCACTAATATTATTATATATATCGTAATAAATATATAAAAAGAAGTGATTTTCTAGTTTTATCCAGTCTCAACCCTGGTACTTACATATTGTCACCACGGCTCCGATTCCTTGTACTATTTATTTTTGTAAATAGTTGGATGTTATTGCGTTAGTTCTTTTCGTTGTCTAACGCTAAGCGCAACATAAGTTATAATATATTTATCATACTGGAGCCCTGTGGGCGATAAAGTTTTACGTAGTCCATGGACCGAACTCCAAACCATCCTATAGAGACAACATAAATACTTTTCTATAATTCCTTCGATATTAAACAATACACTATCTATGAACATTGTCGGCATAGCAATTTGTGGGGCATGCATTATTCACTAGGAATAATTAGGCGTCCGTGGAATTTATGCGACAATGCGATTACGTTACGCAAGCGCCGATGCCTTGTGGGCATTAACATAAAACAAGGCGCGCGAGCCTCCGTCCGCCATCGTCTCCGACCGGCGTACGCCACAGCCGACCGCAGCTTTACAGCAGCACAATCTGCGGGCATCCAACGACCACAATTACATTGTTCGCCCAATCGCCTATATAATCGCCAGGTCGCGAGAGTATTAGAAGTCAAAGTCACTTTAAGCTTATATATAGGCTTACTTTAAGCTCTTGTTGAACATAAAAAACTACCACCGGCTAACTAAACTAGACGTGTCCAGAGAAGAACCGGCAAGAAACTCTGCGGTCACATTTATTTCTTTGAATTATTTGAGTATATACACAAAAGTAAAAAATTACCAGGAGCCAAGGGACTTGCAAGTCTGAACCTCGGTATTTTCAGCGTGTCACCACGGCCTCAACGCGATGTGGTATGTTTTTTTTTAAAAAGGTGTATTGCCAGTGGAAGAAACGTTTTACTACTTATGTTGCTGTATTCTTGTATCTTGTATCTTGTATTAACTGATGTTTTTACTTTCAGTCCCGAGACTATTAAAGCTTCATCTGACGCAGAACCGGTGGGCTAGCTAGAACCCACGGGTTTGGCCACGCATGTGCTCTTGCGTGCGTTTAACTATGGTGTGTCATCTAAGGGCCATCGAGGTCGCGGTTCGGACCGACCTGTTGCTGTATTGCCTACGTCGTTGTTGCATGTTTAAATACGTAAGTATAGCAATTTGCAAAAAGAAGTTTTTATAATTGTTCTCGTGGATAGTTGTTTGTATGATTATTAATTCGTAAGCGATAGTATAATAATTACAGTCCTAATCCTTCTTCTGGTTCTCGATTTCGATCCAAGCCGAGTTTCGAACCTCCATCTGAGGGGCCCATGGATCGTGTCGTGCCCGCCTTTGTTGGTCGATTGTCCATCTTTCGTTAGCGGGGTGTTTGGAGTGCAACGGAGCGGACGACGTCTTCAAGTCCTTGACTTGCACCAGCTACGTTGTTCTTCCGAGTTGGTGGGCACCTGCCCGCGGACCTCTACCGCCGAAGTTGTCAAAGCCGTCAAAGTACATGTCACCGCCGAAGTTGTCAAAGCCGTCAAAGTACATGTCACCGCCAAAGTTGTCAAAGCCGTCAAAGTACATGTCACCGCCGAAGTTGTCAAAGCCGTCAAAGTACATGTCACCGCCAAAGTTGTCAAAGCCGTCAAAGTACATGTCACCGCCGAAGTTGTCAAAGCCGTCAAAGTACATGTCACCGCCGAAGTTGTCAAAGCCGTCAAAGTACATTTCACCGCCAAAGTTGTCAAACCACCGGGCTAACAGCAAACTTCATCTCACAAAAAAAAGCAAACAGAGGTTTACGCTTTTCTAAACGCTGTTTACAGCTTCACCTTTGTGTGTGTGATTGTATATATGTAATTTGAATAACGTGAAATTATTTCATTTTATTTTAATTATTTATTTGTGCTTTATTAAGTAGTGCCGTAAGGCATTCTCTACCAGTCAACCCAGGACGTAGTGATAGTTTATGGTGGGTGCAGCAACGGATGTAAAAATTACAAAATATTAATATAAAATAAAATAAATAAAAAATATAAAATAAATTATGACCATAGTAAAAATCGATCACTAAAAATAATTGCCTTACTTTCGCCAGGATGATAGGTTTATAGGCAACGGGTACCTGTCAATTCGAAGGCTATGTAACTCTGCAGCCTTATATAGAGTATTTTTACAAATATATGAAGTAATTTGTGCGACGAAATTTTTAATATTATTTGTTTTGTTGAAGTCATTTAAGCTATGATTATGCAGTCAATTCCTGCACACAGGTGTTATATTTATACGGTATCGCGAGCATTTTTCCTTTATAATCAAATTAGCGTCGCGTCCGGTGTAGGTAAGGCGATTATGTAGTTAATACTAACTACATAATCGCCTAAAACTATTCAGTTGTTAGTCCTTTCCTACGGAATGTACTGCAAGTTTAAAATTGTAAACGCGTGAAATACGATTATTTGGGGTGCTTAAAATGAGGGTTCAGTTGAAACGTGTCTTACTTAGAACCCAGTCAGCATAAGCGACTACTTATGCTGACCCGGAAGTTATAGTTAGACGAGATCTGCAGTTATGGAGTTATTATTAATATTCCAATGGGATAAAATTTTAAGACTTAAACTACGGGCAAGCTCTAGCCACTAAGCTGGACGAGTGAAGTAAAGTAACAGCCTATATATGTCCCAATTCTGGGCAAAGGCCTCCTCAGTACAGAAGTGCGCCACGCGACCTCATTGCGGGTTGTCTTGTATCTTGTATTAACTGATGTTTTTGCTTTCAGTCCCGAGACTTGCTTTCTGTCCCGAGACTAGTGCGGGTTGACGGACTTCACATATCTTCGAAATATTGTTATTAATTATCTCGAGGATATGCAGGTTTCTTCACCATGTTTTCTTTCACCGCTGAGCACGTGATAAGTCAGCGCTTATAATTAATAATTTCATTGGTGCCGGCACCGTGGATTGAAGTTGAACGCAGGTTGCTCGAGTATATTGAATTAAACGCAAGCGCCCGGACACTAAGCAATCACGGCTTTCTATCACTATTTCTATCACTAAGCTAAGCGTAATGTAATTTGAGAAAGTTCCGTTAGCTTAATAGCTACAGCGTGATAATGCGTAATCTGGAAGACACAGATGCGAATCCTGGCGGCGGCGAAGAGACTGTTATCTTTTTGGTTTCAGTAACAGCTTTATCTACGATAGCTAATATTCAGAAAATCCCGTAGACGTGGGATATACGAATAGATCGTTGACCCCCGGAAGAAATCTTGAATGAAGATTGGTAAGTACGTGCAAGAATGCCGCTTTTATGCACGACAATCTATCTTGTTACTACTGGAACGGCGATTCATTATTACAAAGACGGGTATTAATAGCATGGAGTGATCAGTACACAGCTTAACGCGCCAGTCATGGCCTCAAGGAGTAAGAGATTATCAAATTCGCTAAGATAATTGTGTAGACCATGGGGAGAATCCTTCCCAATCCTATCTCTCGTCATAAATATGTCCCCGTATACTAAGTATGAAGCGAATCAGCATACTATTCTTTAGGCCGTATGACGACGAACCGTTGTCATCTTTTTTCATCATCTTTGTAAGATGCGGTGGCAAAGATCGACTGGTTAACCTATTAGAAAATGCATTAGAACAAGAGGAAACTCAGGAGCCTTGTCAGCCTTTTAGAGAGTTTGAGAATAAAATCAATAGAATAATTATTTCTAATCGTGCACATTTTTGACCGTTTGGCTGTGGTTCACGCAACAGAAGAAGTCTCTGTAATAAATCTGTTGTGATAGCACAAGAAGAAGAAATGGGATAGTAAATAAAAACCAGAAAAAGTGTAAGATAAAATATTATGCAGTAAAATAAAGTGATCTGTAGTAAAATAAGCTTGTGTTAATTTTAACGACAGATAGAAAAACCCGTCCGTCAGCAAAAACCAAAAACCGTTATTCAAAAAGACTTTTGGTTTGTTCTTATGATATGGAATGATATAAAACAGCTTTCTTTTGTTTTAAGATATCAATAAAGACACAATTACACCACTGTATTCAGTCAGTAAGTATTCTGTATACTTTCAAGCGCTTACTAGCGCACTTATAGTTTCAATGAACCTAAAGAGGTACTGCTCTCTTTAATGTATTTACGTAGTCTGGAAAGGATCCCGTCTGCGCGGGTATATGGAAAGCGGAACGTATTATTTCGAATCGTCCATTCATTCGAATGTTAAACGCGTCGATGTAAAAGAGCGCTCACTTAAAATTTATGCTGCCGCGACGCAATCCAATCCGGCTTTAAATAAGATTTGCATTAAAATTCAAACATCGAACTGAAACTGTGAAATCGCGCCTCGTCCAGACTAGACCTTGAAACTAGTTGAACTGGACGAGAGGTCACCGCAAACTGGTTAGCCGCGTGTCACCGTCCTCGCTTGTTGCCGTACCGTACGGAGGGAGAGCGGCTGATACGGGGCGAGGGCGCGCGCGAGTGAGACGGACGGAGTCGAGACAATCGGAGTAAATTGCCCGATGATTGGATAATTATTTTATTGATACTGTTAAACGCTATTGAAACGGGACTCGGGCTACAAATGAAGGGCTGCATTGTGAACTAACGTTGGTGGCAGCGGGTGATATATTGGCTTAAACAGGCCACACGCGATTAAACAACGCTACTTATTTCAAGGGTTTTACTTCTTTTGTTATGTAATGGCTTCTAATTGTTAGTTTGCTTTCTTTTTTGTTTGTTCAAAGTAATTGGGTTAAACTGTTTTCAATACGAATATTAACGAATATAATAAACTAATGAACATTAGAGGAAAATTTTTGTATGACATAATATACAATATGCATTCACATATGTAACTAATGTGTTTTCGGTTACATTTTGCTAGATCTTGAGACGACACTTTTGCTTTTGTTTAAATGGTGGTGATTAATAAAATTATATTGCTTTTGTTTATTGCGAAGGGATTAAACAAACCTATATATCTAGTATTAGTAACCTGTGTAGTATTAAATAAGTCTCTCGTTGTTTATTTTAATAATAAAATTTCTAAAAAGAAACACATTTTATAAGTGTGATGAAGAATAAGAGAGAATAGAAATAAAAAGACTTCTTACCTTGTACATTACTATTCTGTTTTATTCCACGTCTCTGTAGCATATCTACACACACGGTTCTTTTCACTAGAAACAAATGCAATGCCACTTAAAACAAAAACTAAACAAAAAACCGGCCAAGTGAGAGTCGGACTCACGCACGAAGGGTTCCGTACCATTATCTGTAATAATAAACTAATTGGTAAGTACCTATAGGTTGCCTAGAAACAATCTCGCGTTTCTTTATAGCTTTTTTAGGTTTATAGCTTTTTTAAGGTTGTATAGCCTAAGGCTCTTATAAGGGAGCCTCCTTAAATGTTTTTTATTTTATTCTGTTTTTTAGTATTTGTTATTATAGCGGCAACAAAAATACACCATGTGTGAAAATTTCAACTGTCTAACTATCATGGTTCATGAGATACAGCCTGGTGACAGACGGACTGACAGATAGACAGACAGCGGAGTCTTAGTAACAGGGTTCAGTTTTGCCCTTGGTGTTTCCTACCCTTAAAACGGGTCATGTAGGTGCTAAATCGTTTAAAATCCGTCCGAAAGAAATACCGGCTCCTTTTTGATATCAGTGTTGACAGTGGTTCGTGGCAGAAAACAACGTTAGGGCCGCATGGTGATGAACTGATTAGACAAGGTGATAAAAATACAAAATCACCGTATTATTGAAAAACGACAACGATGACTTGCGCAGTTTTCCCTCGTTCGGATCCTCCTACCAGGAGAAGTTTTCTCGCGAAGGGAGCCAAGGGTGCCAACGGGAGTAAACAGCAAGACTCCCAGCCCTAGCGGCGTAACTAGTCTGTGGCTCATTTCGGAGAGTAGAGAGGACAGCGCATCGCAATAAATACCGATACTCTTTTCCTCCCGTGTGCACACCACTACAGCATCAGCCCCGCTTAGTCGCAGATGATAGTGAGCAAGGCAATCTAACACACTCCTCTTCCTCCGCTTCCTCCTCAACCTCGTAGAAGATAGAGAGAGAGTTTTTTTATGGAGAAAAGGTGCAAACCAGCAGAAGGCTGGTTACTTGACCTGGTCAACACCTGCAACACCCGAGGGCTTACGTAGTGATACATAGTGACTCCTTCTCTATCTACCACACTCGACCTGTCCCCCGAACCCTCCCAGCATGGGTCTGGGAGTCTCGGTCTCTCAATGAGCCCAATCGGAGCGGTAATCTGTAAACCGACCTTTCATCACAGGCCAGCCCAGTGTGGGTTCGTCTCGACATCAGCCTGGGTTACAAAGCGATGGCTTCTAAGCTCCTCCGCCAAGGTGGGACCCTGGTCGGAGGGGTACCCTACATCCCTACCGAATCATAGATGGGATATTTTTATATTGAGAGGGCTGCACCGGGCCCCAATGGTTCGGGAGCTGTGCTTGTTATGAAGATCGATATATTTTTTTTAATGTAAAAACTTGCCAACCGAGCAGGCGGTTCACCTGGTGTTAAGTGAATACCGCCACCCATGGACACCTGCTACACCTGAGGGTTGCAGATGCGTTGACAACCTTTTGAAAATTGGGCTCTGGCGCTCAACAGATGAAACGTAGAAGTATAATACTTCCACTTGACGCCGGTCTTCTGTGAGGTCGTGGTACTTACCCGGGCG